CTTGTTTTGGTATTTGTTCACTATACATGTATCAACTATATAAACCAAACCCAACTGAGTTAATGTTTGCAACAAAGATGAATGTCAAATCTTAACTGGATGAAGTCATCACATATAGAAATAATCTAACGACAGCTAAACACAATACTATTATGTGCATAGTATTCTGTATGGAAACAAAAAGGGGGCAGGAAAGACAAGACTGCTGTACGCACACAGCTAGCTTTATGTGCATTTGGTCACTAACTCTACTACATATCGTTACTGACAGCTAAGAGAGGCTCAGTAAGATTAAGTAACTTGCAAGTTACTATCAGTAATAATCTACAACTCAATAATACAGTCAGCTTAGAACTACAGTTATGTTTCTATTTGTGAAACAAACAGCAAGGTTTCACAACTGAAGACAAAAAAATGTGGGTAAGGTTGTGGTGATAATTTGTTTATAATCTAACAAGCAAAGCTTGTCTGAGGATCAGAATGCTGGGCTAGCCACATGAGGTAGGCACACAAAGCTGATGCTAGCACTTGGGATCCCATGCCTTTAATACCAGCACTAAGAAGGTGGAGAAAGGAGTGATATGGATGGGTGGAGACAGGAGTATAAGCTGTGAGGAGACAGGAGAGAGATGCCATCTGAGCAATCTGAGCAGTCTGAGCAGTCTAGGCAGTCAATCTGGGCTTTCAGTCTGAGGATTCCTAGAGACAGGATCAAAACTTTGGTCTAAGGATTCAGAAGAATTAAGAACTAGTGACTTGCTGCTTTCCTCCTCTGATCTTTCCGCATATATCCCTCTATTTGACTTGGGGGTTTTATTATTAAGAACAACTAGAATTCATGCTACATAAGGTTTATTAGGTAAAGCATTCATTCACCACTTAACAATATGAAGAAACATTTCATCTTCTTGATTATTACCACACATAATTCAGACAGGAGTATATGCATATATGGAGATAAAATTTAGGAAGAAAATAATGGTGTTTTTTTTTTTTTTTTGTTCTTTTCTTCCCAATGCTGCGGACTTAACACAGGTCCTTGAATGTGTTGGGCAAATATTTTACCACTTAGGAAAACACCCAAATGTTTTTAAGTATTTATAATCACTAACTACAGAAACTGGCACACCTACAGACATGCAAAAATAGTAATAAAAAAAAAAACCCACAAAATAAAGCACTTTCCTAGCTTGGGGTATTCAGTAATAATATCTTCAAGGCAAGGGCTGCTTCTTGATGACTTCTAAATACTAACCCCAGAGTGGAATTTCAGGTGCTCAGGGTCTTGCACACTAATAAGAAACGGATGCTCAGTGCAGGGCCATCTCAGAGGACGACCTGCATATTCTCAGAAATCTCTCATGTTCAAAAGCTGCACAAAACAAAAATCATTCCATATGAATTATCTGACAGGGTTCTGAGTTCTTAAGTATGTTTGAATCACTAAACAACAGACATTTTTTTAAAGCATGTATAATTTTGTTGAAACATTTTATCTAAAAGGAGACACACAACAAAAGATCAGAAGAAAGAAGTAGAAATCTTCAAGATGAAGCCCTGTAATTTGGACCAGGTGAGAACCAGGGCACAAACCTCTCTAGTACAGAGTGGGGCTGAAGCACACATTGCATTTCAAGATTACCATCACAAGTGCAGGAAAGAAAATTAGGTTTACATTCAAAGGCTAGCATGAATATGCTCTTGCTGTTGACTAAGAAAAGAAAGGATATGAGGTCATTGGCAGGGTCCACCAAAAATAACAGGCTGAATGCAAAGGACCCCTTTTCAAAACAATACAGTAATATGGGTATGAGTACCACTCATGGAAGCTTAATGCCTAGCAGACCACCAATCAGCAGAGAGCTGACAGCTTACAGTCAACAATCCACTCAACACCTCTAGTCTTAACTTTATGCTTGACAGGGTCCCATGAAAGAGAAAGGTATCAAAGGGAGCACAGATTCACCACCCACCTACCACTCCAGGCAGGCTTCATGCTAACTGTCCTCAAATATAAAGGGTAAGTACAGAGATATGAAGTGTTCTGTGCACTGTTACTAC